AGCACAACCTGCAACAGACCCAAAATTTTTGTTTAGTATGAAGATAGACCAGATTCACGTACGCAGGTTAAAATCAGACCACCAATCATACTAAAGAGAAGCGAAATACCATATGAAAATATAAAAACTTTAACATTAGAGTCAACCTCAATTACATTCGTAAGACCAAATCAGAACAGAACTACATTAGAATGAAACAGCATTCCATAATGCCAAACAAAGCTAGCATCTACCCTAGCTAGTCTAGAATACATATAAAACTAAGAAATCATCATATCATAGAAAAAGAAAGTGAACAGAGAGAGAATCCAATTGGTTCCTTTTGTTTTAACCTCATGTCCTTCCTCTCATTTCACCTATCTGAATTAAACCTTCTTCTCCCATGTGTGTGTGTGTGTGTTATTTTTTTATTTTTTTCAATTAAAATAAAGAATCACATTGGCTCATTTACCCTCTGTGAAGCAATTGGGTTTTCATAGGCTAAGTTTAAAGTAAGAATGCAATCCAAATCAAGCAATGAACAAAAAAAGTTTACCGAAGGAAATTTGATATTCAATGACGGGCTCTCACAGAGCAATGTTGAGATGTTCCACCTTCAAAAACAACAAAGGGGATTATAAAGTTACTGGAAAAAAAGTGTTCCAAAATTTGTGAAAAGTTGTGGTAATCCTTTTTTTTTTTTCACAAAGCTATTGTCAATTTAAGTCACCATCTAAGAGAGTAATAGAGTTAGGTGAAGGAGCTTAACTGAAACTTTGGATTTGACAAGAAAAAATATACAACCTGCAAAATAGCAAAGGAAGGAGAATAACAAAATGAATTTCAGTAAAAAGTGAAATAATAGAATAGAGAAAGAAACGAACAAAAAATAATATAAAAATGAATCTTGAACCTTTTCACTATCGAACTGTCAGCTGCAAAAAAAATGGAGCAATTGAAAAAAACAAGAGAATCAATAAGAAGTTAGTTGCAAAAAAATTGGAAAATAGTAATTAAAATAACATAAAAAAACCAAATCTATGGAAATTTTGAGGATAAATAGAAGATGCAAGTGTTAATTTAGAGAGAGACCAAGAAGATGAACAAAGAGCCCGTTTATGTATGCATGCACATGAATGAATATCCTTTGAGGTAGTGGTAAGAGCTAAGAAGAGAGGGAGAAGAGAAGGAAGAAGAGAGAGAGTGAACAAGGGGGATTTGGATCTCCAAAGTGATAAATAAAGAGAGATGTAAAGAGAGATGGGGGAAAGCAAAAATTTTTTCCTCAGATGGCTGTTCAATACATTTCTTTCTGATGGAAATTGAGAGCTGAAACCTCATCCTTTGAACTTAGAGCAAACACCAAAGAGGAAACAACAAATTGATGAAAAATAAAAAACAGCTGTAGATTCATTGCCATCAAAAGGGAAAGCATTTTTTGAAGAGCAGAATAAAACAAAAGAGGGGGAGAAGAGACACACACTCATCTGTTACCAACTAAAAAATTCAAACAACAGCATCAACAGTAAAAAAAAAGTGTCATTTTATGTTATTAAATTGAACCTAAATAAAATTGACAAGATCCTTCCTTAAATGCCGCTGACATGCATGTTGTCTATTGAATTTTAGATGTCTGAAACTAAACAAAAATAAGCCCAATGTATGTTAAAAAAAATTTGAAACAAAAACAAAAGCTACCAGACAGCAGAGCAAAGTTCAAAAAGAGAAAGAAATAAGAAAGAAATAACAGAGTCAAATGTAAGGAAAAACAAAGGGCAGCAACAGAGGAAAAATAAGGAAGAGCATTAGAGGAAAAGCAACAAAATAATGAGAAACAAAGGAAAAAAGAAAGGGGAGGTATAGAAGACATTGGAAGGGAGCAAAAAGACGGGGAGAGGGGGCAGGAAATTGCTAAGGGGTTTGTACAATTTGTAGATGCTAATGATTTTATACTCTTTAGATGTAGGCAATGTAGCTTGCTTAAGAATATTCCAAGCAGCTGCTCATCAGGGTTCAATTTTTACCTAACCCAAACCATGACAACATGATCAGCTACTTGACTCTCTCACCTTCCAATCTAAGCAATGGGCACAAAAAGAGCTCTTATCCACCATAGCATGGGCCTACATAGAACAGAAGTTATATCCTGAAGCATATGATGGCATGCCATACAAATAAGAACTGAAATTAACTGAAATAACAGTAGACAATTCAACAAAAAAGAAAGATTAAGATACCTGGAAAACAGTAACATTGCATTCTTTTGAAACTCTTGGTAGCATCAGTAACCTTTCAATGATCTCCGGTAGTGCTTCATAATTTGCATGAATATGAATTTCCATGCTCCCTAGAACTCTTGCACTATTGAGAAAAAACTTCACGATTTCCATTTCATCTGCGTAGCCATTAAATGACAAAATTTTGATTGTCTTCAGGCATGATGAAAAACAACTGATTTTAGACGCCTCTAGCAAGCTCCAGGCAGCGAGATCCCAATAACACTTATTCTGATCAGAAAACAAATAAAAACATTCATTTATAATTTCTACTGTGCATTGGCTCAATTTTCAATTTAGTTATTCGACTCCTTACCTGCAGAACAAGGGTTTCTAAAGATTCACAACGTTCAAGTAGATATGGTAGTTTATTCACGTAAGATTCACCAAAAAAAATTGTCAAATGAGTCATTTTATGAAACACAGGGATTGGAACACTTAACAACTTGAGAATCTGCAAAAGGAAAATTATGCTTAGCTGTGTATAAATAATTGCCAAGTGAAGAAAATAGGCAATTTTATAATTACTTGTTCATCTTTAGAGTTAGGTGTGGTTAGAAACCTACGCTTAGAGTAAAACCAGTTATCCAAAGTGTCTGAATGTTGCTTATCCCTCCCATCAGATCAGTTGCAACACGAGTGTAACGCTCCTTGTTGCCAATAAGCCTTGAAAATTCAATATTGGCTTTAACAAGGCACTGGATATTTACAAATATAATAGAGTCTGCATCATTGACAGTGCATGCCAAGTAGACAAGACTTGGAGCAGTAATCACAATCTCAATACCGCCATATAGCCAATCAGTGGCAACACACAATAGGGTCAGCCTCTTGAGTTTAGGATGAAAAACACTCAATTTGCAGTGACCACCAGTGAAACTGAAGTACAAATCCTCAAGGACAGGGCAGTTAGAGAATAGCCTATTCCAAGAATCAACATTCGAAAAGGTAATTTCCGATAGGTGAAGGAACTTAAGAGATGGGAGACGGACATTGGCAGGCAGTTCTAAACCAGAGCCATCAAACTTGCGGGAAATGTTCAATTTCAGAACCACCAATGTCTCACAAGTAAACAGACTACTTGGAAGCAACAGCTCTTTCAAATGAAATGCATAAATCGATATATCAACCTCTCGAACACCATTGCAGATTACAACCTTTATCCAACCCTCAAGGCGCAAAGGGTCAAGATGTTTTGATTCTGGCCAACTGAGTTGAAACTTATCTATGGGGCATCTGTTACGGTAATAGAATAGTCTATCCGCAATATTCATCAAACCAATAATCCGATTGTATGTTTCGCCATGAAAATCAAGAACAACATTAGAAATTGAAGCATAGAGGTATCTCCACCTTCTTGACAATACTGAGGTACGGACTACTTCTTCCATGGGAAGGAATGAGAGAATGTGCAAAACAAGTTCATCAGGTAATCTACTGAAACTATCCATTCCACCAAACGCTGTAATTTCACTTCTAAAAAAAGGCCTAAAAGAAAAATCCCTCTTCCTCTTTCCCATCTCGCCCTGAAAATTATGAACTCCAGGATCAAAATGAAGCAGGTGTTTTAAAGAAAAACAAGAATCAAAAAATGGTAGCAGAGATTCAAAAGAGAGAAACTTAAGACAAAGAAGGGACATGCAAAAATCAAAGATCACCTTGAATTTCCTTTCTTTCTTTTGATAAATTCCGACTCCGGCCACCGGTTCAGGGAACGGCAAAGTGGAAAACAGTAGTTCGTATTCAATGTGTTCTACTATGATAGACGCGATTTCAATCTCCTCCGACGGTTTTCTGGATTTCGGGAGTTTCCGACTTTCATTTCCGGCATCGAGACTTGCGATTTCGGAAATGTTCTTCTATGATAGAATCGATTTCAATTTTCCAATTATAATAATGATTTTATTTTTCTTTTAATATTTTCTCATTGCAGCTAAACTTTCAAACAATGCAATTTTGATTTTATGAATTGCGTTTTTATTTTGGCGAATTGTATTTCGTAAGGTAGCCTCTAGCTTTACGGCTAGAAGTTAATGCTTTTTCGCTTTATTTTTCAAAGTTTAAAGAAAAATTATTTGTAAATTATATTATTATTTTAATAAATTAAATTAAAAGTATAATAATTTATGTTTTATAATAAAATAATTTTTTAAATATAAATTTATTAAAATAATACAATTTTAAATAAATTTTTTAAAATTTTTAAGAGAAGATATGAATTGAATTTTTTTTATAAGAGGGATTAGTGCAAAATAATTTTTTAAATATAAATTTATTAAAATAATACAATTTTAAATAAATTTTTTTAAATTTTTAAGAGAAGATATGAATTGAATTTTTTTTATAAGAGGGATTAGTGCCATTAAAAATTAAAAAGAAAATTATTTTATAATTATTTAATTTTAATAAAATATCATAAAAATAAAAATAATTTAATTTACACTTTAAAAATAAAATATTTTAATCTTTTAAAATATAAATTTATTAAAATTTTCTCTTTATTTTTTTTAAAAACAAATGAGTATTATGTTTTATATTTAATATTTATTTTAATTAATATATATTTATTTTAATAAACATTTCAAATATTTTTAAAATAATAAAAAATGAAAAATAAAAACTAAAACATCTTCTTACCCCCACAACGTGCACTAAATAATACAAGAGTGTAAAATTTTATAATTTAAATTATATTAAATTATGAAATAAAAATTATTAAATGAGTTTTTATCGCACTCTATTCAACCATACAGTGATATAATTTGATACATCTAATTATATGACTTTTTTTTTTGAATAATTTACTATTTAAGATTTAAAAAAAAAAATTCAAAGAATTAATGGTATTTGAGACAAACCACTTTTGATCCGAAATTTCGGTTCGTACGACACTTGTTTTTTTTCTTATATAAACTACAACAAACATTATTACAAAAAAAAAAAAAAAAAAAAACCAACAAACACGAATCATTTGTTATCCAATGCAATCAACCCACGTCAGTAATGCTCAAACTGACCTATTTTATTTTGCCGCCATAAGCCAGACGATTGGCCCTCCCAATTTTATAGCCGAAATCCCGACGCACCTGATTCCTACATCGCAACCGTTAATTAACAGCAGTCGCAACAAGCCAACAGCCTCTTCTGCTTTTGTAGAGAGGCCGCAGAAATTTGTTTCCTTTCATTCAATTTTCTGATTCCGGACCGAATGAAGGGTTTTACTTTTGTGGGTTTTTGTTCTTGAGGATTCTTCTGATCTTATCTCGAAAAACGGAGATTTTTCTTTTTCTTTTTTGGTTTTTTCAAGAGGCAAAGGAGGGGATGGGGGATGATAATAATGTGCTAAATACTGATGATTACTCCTTGCTAAAGGATTTCAAAGTGGAGATTGAAGCTGAAGAAGGGCGTTTCTGTCTCTGCTTCTGGGTTTATCTTTTGGATTCCACTGCATTTCCCACTACCCTCATTACACAGGTCTTACAACTCTTCTTCTTCTTTTTTATTTAATTGTTCTTATTTCTTCTTGAATGTGTTTAATTTTGTAAGTATTCTATGTTGGTTATTTGTTCCTCTTTTTTTTTTTCTTTTTTTTTCTTTTTTTGGTTTCTTAATCCCTTGGACCAGTGTAAACTCTGAACAACAGGCATTGGCCTTTGTTTTTGTTTCCTTTTTTTTAAAAAAAAAAAAAAGATTCTTTTGATTTTTTTAGGGTCTTTGGCCTTAGTTTTTTCTAGGGCTTCGTTTTCTGGGTATGAAAGAATTACCTTTTCTTGGTTTGTTTTAATCTA